CCTTCACTGCTTGTGGTAAAAATATAAACTTTTTGATAGGGTTGCCACTCGCTTAAATTTTTTGGGACTTAAATATATACTGATTAAAATATTACAACGCATTCAGGGTATGAAAGTTAAATGCCTTAATTAATTAAATTAAATGCACTCTTAACCGTAAGTAATAATTTTGAAGAGCATTGTAAACTTTTTAAAAATGTATATCTATATCTCTATATATGTGAAACTAAGTTACGTAAAACGTATGACCACATAACTCAAGAACGGATTTCCCGATTTAAGTAGACCCGAGGAGAAATGTTACGGCGAGAACACCCCGATAGGTGGCGCTGGGATCGACTTATTACTTTATCGATTTTTTTGAAATTTCGCACACCTACTGCAGAATTTCCAAGGATAGTTATAGGCTAAAAAAACTCGAACATGGTATGGATGGTATGGATATATATGAATGCAATGACATACTCATGCAGAGAAGTGGGACTATTTGAAACTGGGGCGTTGAGTGTGTTTTAGAGGGTCTCTGGATCGTCGCAGTTCATAATTTGACCCGCCAGGTGTAGCTGGAGTCAAGTTATTACTAAAAAATGTTATGCATGATCCGATTTGGCTTATATTCGAAACATGTATTGGTATCGTAAAGGAAAATATTGACGTGAAAAAATGTACCCGCCAAGTGGCTCAGGAGTCGAGTTATTACTAAAAATTCGTATTTATAATGCGATTTGGCTCATATTCGGGATATGTATTGGTAATGGTAAGCGCAATACTTTTACAAAAACGTCCACTGAGATAAAGTGTTGTGAATGTCCGATTACGTCGACCTGCTGCACCATTAAGCTTGTCTAACTGCCGACTGTTTTCCGACTGGCCCAATAGATATGATTTACCAATATTACTCTGCGTTAAAGCTTCATTCGGAGACACCAGGATTGAGTTGTCTAGGGGTCAATCTGAAATGGCCTCCGTTAAATCAACCACCAGAACTGTTGCGCTCCTTGATAAGGCATTTAAGATAGTTCGTCTGAAATAAGTCTATGTACATATATTGGATTTCTGTGGAGCGACGATGCTCAGCCATTCTGAATTTGCCCCGAACTATACTATACAGTTTCGAAGAGAGATTCACCATCGAACCGGACGATTGTTGTCGCCAGAGGGTGAAGAGAAAAAAAATCTTCAAATTTATTTCGCTGTACGATTAACCGTGATGTGAAGGGCCACATCATTGGGGCAGATTCAAAGAACTTCTTCGCGGACATTAAACTTTCGTTGGGTTATTTAAGATGGGAGTCTTGGAAGTATGCCCTGCGACCACCAAACCATAATATTATCATATAAATCGTGACCGTGAATTGTTGATGAAAATCTTTGACCAAAATGTTCCAATAAAAAAATGAATTTTGGGCGGGACGAAGTTCGCCGGATCTGCTAGTGTACATACATACATAAAATTCTCTCGGCAGCTTACTTTTCGCCAATCAGTTTTTTTTTTAGCACTTATCACGCTTTTGCACACCTCCTACTCCATTCTAACATATGTGTATGTACAAACGAATGTGCAACTTATCAATGGAACAGTGAACTTTATAATATATTTAAATGCATGTACATATGTGATTGTACGCAAGTGACATTTTCGAGTGTTGTGCGTAATAAAATGAGAAATTAATTAAATGTGTTTACAGAAGTGTGTTGTAAGCGTTGGAGTCGTGGCTGCTCTTGTACATATTTAATTGCTTTGCACAGCTATATTTAAAAAATATTTCATTTTAAAGTGCACCTACAGAGTATACCATAACTTGAGCGTTAAGTGTTTAATGAATTTAATGAAGTACTTCTATTAATAGCGGGCTAACACAAGTTAGCTCTGAGCTTTTATATTTTTCTTTTTTTAGGAATGAGCTTCTCCTTGTCTCATATACCTATTAGCCTTCGGTATAGGATGCTAATAGATTAAAATATGGCACTAATTTAGTGAAAACCAATCAGTTTAATGCCATAAAGTACAGGAATGAGAAAAAATGAACCGTATCGGCTTCTGTAATGACAGTTTCAATGACAACGCTTGCCGATACATTGCCTAGAATCTCTGGAGCTTTAATATTATATTTCAATTGTGCATGGGTAGGTGCGTGTTGCCGTTGACCATTTTCTAAAATACATCTGTC